CTCTTTCCCCCAGCTCCTCCCACCACTATGCTTCTCTTTTCAAATCACCTCTTGCACTCCCTCCCTTTTTACGTACTGGGTTTCGGAACTTTAGCAAAGATCCCCTAAGTAAAAAGCCAAAAACCAATGAGAAAGTTTGGGGGGATCCTGTCTTCCGGGCAATTCCCAGTGTGTTATGCTGTTCTTCAACCATCTTTTTAATGTGCTTTTTATGTTGGTTTTTGGCTAGCAGAAACAGAAGCGTGAAGCGTTTGGCTTAGAAGATTACTTTAGTGACTCAGTTTTCTTTCTTTTAAGTGGAAGCTTAGATCTCGTAGAAGTTAACGGCACTCGGGCAGGTAAGCTCGCTACTAGCCACAGGCAATTGGACTTATCAGGGTTTTTTAATCTTCACTGCTAGTTTAGCAGATACAACTGCAGCTAAATTCTTATCTCTTTTGACATCACCAGACTTCTCAAGCTTCCCACCCTGTCATATGTTTGCTTTTTAAGTGCTGGTTAGCTCTTCCGTGTTCTTACTCCGTTCTGCAAGCTCTGTGGTGTGGTAGTGTTGGATCTGATCTTCTGTTGGTGAAACTAGATGCGAGATAGGGAGAGCTGAGATTAAAAACAGGGGAATGAGGAAAACAACTGTTTCTATACTGTGATGGTGGTCTCTGTGATGGAGAGAAAGGAGAATGGCCAGAGTTGGAGAGGTATGGAGAGATGAGTAAGTGAAACGTAGAGGAAATGCCACATAGGGTGAAAATCAGACTGCATCAAAGCATTTTGAAACAGAGGTATGCACGTCCAAGTATTTTCTCGTGTCTCAAGTAATATCACTGATCTGTGCGGAAAGGTGCATCCTGTTGTATTAGCAAGGCGTTACCAGGTGGGATGCTGTATTTCTTGCTGCAAAGCTTTTACAGGAGCAAAAAAGAACTCCTTTTTACCTTCTGTTCAGTATTTGCACTTTGTTATATCTTTTTTTTTCCCAGAATTTTTAGATTTTTTGTAAAGAGGAACAAACTGCTTTACTTGGTATCCTTGTGCATGCTGCTCTTTAACTTGAGGATGACATTGGATTGAAGGCAATGATTCAGTAGAGTTGGGTGGGTGTAGAACTCAAATTCCTTACTGACTCTTGTATGATGTGGAACATCATTTTAAATGTTTTGTTATCTTAGATAAATGCCTTTAGGCGGATGGGAATAATCGTAACTGTGAGATTAGATTAATATTAAGCCTTTTTAAAGTGTGTGGATGGCAGGTGTCACAGAAACATTGAATAAATCTTTATGGTGTTAATTAGAGTATACAAAAATGTTAACATTGTTTGAAATCCTCTCATCAAGTATTGTTTTTTGCAGTGACTTCTAGACAGAAGTGCTTGGGAGAAGTATAGTCCAAAGCTTTTAATAGTCCTATAATTTGTATGTTAATCTCTTATTTAATTTACATAAAGGCTAAATCATTTGTCCTCTATGCTAACTAGAAATGCTTCAGAATATTTCTTGTTTGAAATGGCAAATACAGTGTTGTAAATGATTCAGTTATTGGTTTACCTTTTAAGAAACTAAAAATTATAGTTCTCTGTCTGTACTAAACACCTTGGAAACTTTTTTTAACAGTTGCTTGTAGTTACATGACACTAAAGTTTTTGTTTTGTGTTTGACTTAAAGATTTAACTTTTGCCTCCTGTTCTTCTCATTCTCAAATACAGGACAACTGATGAACCTTTTGGAGCTTGTTACCAGAGACCGTTTTCCTCTGTTCATTAAATCATGTGCTATACAGCTGTGAAACATTGTGGCGCTCATTTTTGCTAACAGACAATACTTTCAAATATTGGTAAGTTTTCAGCATTTAAAGCTGTTTATTTTGCTTTTTTTAATGCAGTAAGAGAAAGGGGAAGATTAGCTGGAGATAACATTGCCATTAGGGCTTCCAGTTCCTTAAAATTTGACTTAACACTAATAACAAAGGCTAGTGTAAAAATTTTACCCAACCACAGAAGTTAAAGAAATGTTTGTGCCTGTTCTGCTGCTCCTACCTTATGATACGGACCATTAGTTATGGTCAGTTGGTTCTCATCTATTCCTTGAGAAGAGGAAAACAGGTGCAGAACTCAAAGCACGAGGAAAATTGAAGAGCACTGCAAAGTAAGGTAGGTCTCACGCTTAGCAGCCTATTCTGGCTCATTTTGTGACTCTGGGTCAGAGGTATAAATGAGGACCTTAATGGTGACAGTCCCAAGACTAAGTGAAAATATGTTTTACTTTTGCACTTAGGTTAACAAAGACGTTTCCCATGTGCGTATGTCACCCCCTCCCTGCCCCTTTTTTGTTGAACTGCCTAAATAACGGGACTAAAAAGAGCTAGCCAAAACAATTGCTATGGAGAAGCAATCAGAATTAAAGAGCAGCAAGATTTGGCAGTCTGAAATAGAAGTTGAGAACAGTCAGTGGTATTTCCTTGAATTGGGTCATATTTATTTTCAAGATTTTCAGTTCTGCTTGTTGCCATAAGAACGCTCAGGTTTTCCTTATTACTTAATTTATTTATTAGCTATATTAAGACACCATTTGTAATTACATTAGTTTGTATTGGAAAAGCTTTCTTAATTTGTATCTTCTGATATTTTCTTCCACACTCTGTCATGACAGAGGGTCAGTCTTGAAATAAACAGTATTGACATGTAGTTTATTATTGTTATGAAGGGAGCTAATCTATGTATTGAAGACTTCTAGAAGTGCTTGGGCAGAAATGTATGGAGATCAGAAATGTATGGAAAATACTTTGCTGTAATGGCTAACAATATATTAAATTTTTGACTAGAAGTCTAGTCAAACATTGTAGTTGAAGTTAAATGTTGCAAGTGTAGTGAATAAGTTATTCTAAAGAAAAAAGTACTCTTTGAGAAGAGAGGTGTACAAGAAGATAGTTATAATGGATGCATCTTCACATATAAACAAGACAAAAATCTTTGTGTGGATTAGCGTTCAGGACAATTCCTATTTTTATACATTCCGATCGTGAATGTTAATGTTTCGTCTGAGGAGTCTCATCTCTGAATGTACCCTGTACGCATGTACACATATACATATTTTATATAGAATTTTCAAAGTCTTGGGATTGTTTAGTCTCTTAACCTAGAAAGACATTAGCTAGTATGTACAAGCAGTTAAATATTTCAGGAGAAAATTCTCTTGAATATTCCATTGCCGACTTAATTTTTTTTAGAACTTTATTGGTAGCTTTTTTTTAACTCGGTATTTTATAGGTCAACTAAGGTAAATTAGTGTCCCTCAGGCTGCAAATGTCTCTTTAAAGAGAGTCATTAAAGTGAGAACGTTTTGAAAAGCTACCAAACAGGAAACATTGTTGTTCCAAGGATCTGTTTGAAGTTTTAGGTTCTAAAATTAGTTATTTTTTTCTTTCCTATACTTTTTCAGAAGGAACTGTTGCTTAGGCTATTGCATAAGGGTAACCTAGCTTTAATTACCTGCAATGTATTGATATGCATTTGATATCGTTGATATCGTTTTGGTTTAGTAAGCCATAACTAGGTATTTTATACCTGTGAACTAAGAGGGAAAGAATATTGGAATATATGACTATTGTTTGGTAATTTTGTAATTTAATGTTAGTAACTCTTCCTGGTTTTGTTTTTTATTGTAGTTCTGTCTTTCTCCTACAAGAGTTTATACCAGTATTATTTGAAAGTTGCAGAAAAGTGCACTACCTGCGCTGCCCTAGGACTGTTGATGTCCTCAGCTATTGTAGGAGAAACACTAGGCCTGGAACCCGGTTTGTTACTGGTAAGGAGTAATGGTCTTGGAATTTTTTTTTTTTAATATTAAAGTTTGCATGCTTTCTTTAACAAAATGAGGAAATAGTGAAAAGATTTTTAGTCATTTAAGAACATTATGCCAAAAACTGCCGCTCTGCTCTTCTGTGGTTTTTTTGGTTGGTTGATTTTTTTTTTTTTTTTAAATTATTTTTCCCCTTCAGTTTTTAAACTCGTGTTTGTCCTAATTTTCACCTGTCCAAACTGTGGAGGCTAAGAGTTTTCCCTTAGCTTTCACTTTCAGACCTTCTTTTCTCTTGAAGTTCTTCATGTACCATCAGAGTTAATGAAGGTTAATAAATGAATTTTTCTGAAATACCTTCAGAAATCCTTCGTCTTGTGTCACTTTGATATTATACTTCTTTGTCTTTACTATTTCTTGTGGGTCAAGAGGCTCTCCTGTCCTTGAAACACCTGATACTCCTGTAACTTCAGGCAGACGATTCAGCAGGTCACAGCCAAATTACTGGTTTAAAGTTTTACAATGCCGAGTGAAAGATGTAATGATTGCTCCTTGTTACTTTAGGTTTTGGTTATTGGAATTGGGATCTGCTTGTGGCTCATGTGAGGCTTTGCTTTTGCAGTCTACGTAATTAGGTGAATGACTGGAAGCGTGTGGTGTTTTGAAAGTCCTTGTTCTTTTTGCTGTGATCAGCCATCCTTTTATTCATAATTGCATTTGTATCTACGTTATTTTATGTCAGAAGTAATTGTAACATGATGATACGATCTTGGGTATTGCATTTCCTGACTAAACCTAATCCAGACAGAGTGAGAGTTGGAATGTCTTCACCTGCACGGAGAACTCACAGTTAAAGCGAGTGAGTTCATCTTTGCCAGAGTACTGTAACTACTGATTGTGCGATACTGGCCCTGCTGCTGCTGTTTGAACTTGACTCATGGGCTTTCTGGATAGCAGCTCCTACAGAGTTGCTAAGCAGAAATGCCATTTTAATGCTGTTGGTGATGAGGTAGCATTTGGCTTGAAATTAGAACAATTTTAGTGACTCTTCATCAGGCAGGTGTTAATTAAGGTTTTGCAGAGTTTCTTTGCCATACAGCTATTGAGAATTGAGTGGGCCTCTCAAATCTGATGATAAGAATGCAACTAGTATTTTTTTTTTAAGTTCGCTGAAAATTATATACCTCCCAAATTCTTATCTTCTCTATAATTCTATAGTATTTCTCAAACTGAAAGGCAAAACTTTTTCTTCTTACAACTTCTAGCCCATAAGGACAAGCATTCATTTTTCTAAGCTGTAATTAAACATTCTCATTCCCATTTGTAAGGGAAAAGTGATGTATTGATGTTTTCATGAAACGAGTTGCAATTAACATCCTTGGGCCAAGGATCTGGTTTGTTCTTACTACAAACATCTGCCTATTTCTCTTTGAATTCACAGTTGTGGCTTGAATGAATAACTTGATCAATGAATGATCAGTTTCTTGAATCAGAGTAGGATAGAAGTGTCTCAGCAACTGCTAATTTTTCATAAGCTGTTACTTCTATTTGTATCTAAAATGTTGTTCAAAATAGATGCAAATTTTGCGTATTCAACATAAACTTAATCTCTTAGAGTTGCGTGCTTTTCTTCCTCAAACACGCCTGTGAGAAAACACATTAGTTCTGGAGATTGGTACTTGAAAAACCCGCGAGTGATGTCTCTGTAGGGAATTACCGTCCGTCAATATCCTGATTCTTCTGCCCTTTTTCATTTAGGAGAATAATCTAAGTATAGGTACTGTCCTCTTCAGTTTCTAAGGTTAATTTTTTTTTTTCTTTCCAGTTTTATCTTCAGCATAGGCCACATGGGTATGATGTATCATACACGTTTCTCTTGTCTTTAATTGGATAACAGTGAAACTAGCAGAAACTCTGTGTCTTGTTATGCAAGGAGGAGTTTCAAGTCCGATCTCACCTTGCAGGGTTCCTCTGCAGAGGAATTTAAAACATGTTGGAATGCTGATGGGAGTGGAGACCTGGGAAGGACAAGGGGGAAGCAGGGAAACGGGGTGCATTTGTTGGATTTTTTGCATGATAAACCATTGGAGAGAATTTCAGTTCATTCTCTGGTTTCCCTTCCCTCTGAAGGGACAGGGGGAAGGGAACAACACACAATTTCAGCTAAATTCTGGTTGGCCCTTTTTCCCCTAGGGAGCTCAGAGTGGCTGGTGGAGGAGTGCGTGACAGACTAGTGAGTATTTTGGTACACTGTAACTTGTGTGTCCTTAGTCTTAAGTGTAGAAACTTATGTTTAAAAAATTGCAACAGATTAAATGTTATGTAGTTTAAATTTTTAGTTAGCTTTTTATCATGCAAGAGAGTTTAAAAAAAACAAACAAACTTGTACTGGGCTTTCAATCGATCAGAATAACTATAATCTGTTTTTGTTGCTGTTTTCCTTCTGAGTGAAGGGAATGAAGTACCTCAAATTATTTTTGTCCCCAGGATTTCCCAGCGGATAATACTGTAGACTTTCATCTATGTTACTGTTTTTTTTTTTTTTTAAATCTGTGGCTTTTTGTCATAATTTAAATAATTCACTGAGTTTTATATGTAACAAATTTGTACCCCTTAATTTTAGTGGTGTTAACATTTCAGCGGGGGACTTATAATATATATTATAAGCTGAGAGGTTAGGCTTTGTAAGTGTTACTGCTTCTTCTATTGAAAACCTTTCCAGCATTAAGTGAAGATTGTGTTTATTTAGACTGTTATTATGTCCTCAGGTGAAATTTTTATGTTCAAACAGCTTGTGCTGATGATGCAAAATAAACACTTTTCATAAATGCTGTATTTGTAGAACAAGCTTCATTCTAGCTCAGGTTAAAGTTTATGTAAATTATTAATGGTTAGTTTAAGACCAGGCCTGTGACAGCATGGAAAATACAAAGCTGTCCTATATTTTGACAGAACTTTGCATGCCGGTGGTTATTACATCTGTTCATGCTCGAGACATTGTCTGTTTTCTACGGTTACATGCAAGTGCTGTTTGTTCAGGAGCAATTTTTTTAGTTACTTTTTTGAAAAAGCAATAGAATTGAATTACTGTACTATCCATACATTGACTTATGGAGAAAGCCTGGTGCCGCTACCTTTTAGTTTGCGCAAAACCTGTCAGAGTCTGCGGACGGTTTTTCGTGGTTCACTGGTTTCTTGGGGAGCTGTGTTGTGGCTGTGCGCTGTCGTCCGAGGCACAGGCTCGTGCTTTCACACGGAGCACCCGTGCCAGTGAGGAAGGCGGCTGCGGAGCCTTGGTAGGCTTCTCATTTCAGAGTTAAAATGTATTGCTGGGGATGATCTTGTAGTTTGAGCCTGCTTTACTTTTTCCTGGAAGTTAAGAAATTGTACCGAGTAGGTATTGGAAGTGGGGGGGGGGGTGTTGCAAAGCAAAATCCCACAGGTTAATTAGAAATAAAGAACATGGATGTAGAAAGTGACGGGAGTAATATTCACCGCAGGTAGCGTTCTCCACTTATAAAACGCCAAGGATAGCACGTGGCCACCTGAACACATTCATCAGGAGGCATTACGGCTTTTATTTTCTTTTCATTAACCAGTGTTGAAGGGCAAAGCATTAGTAAGTTTACTTCTAAGATTGCAGTACACCAATGTGCAGGATGGGCCTATTATTAATCTTTTTGACAATAACTCTAGCGAAATAAGCATCGATATGTCTGAGAGTTTGTCGAGCAAGTATTCCCCGTTTGGGGAAAAAGTTACTCCCAGTTTTCCCAGTCAGAACTTTCATGAAGACTTGTTTGGATGCATCAAGTGGAACCAGGCCTAAAAAAAATTTTAGTAAGCTAAAAATCTCCACGGTTTGTTCTGTCTTTCACATGCTTTTGCTAGCGGTTTGAAGGGGACTGCTTTTCTAAAGAAATCTTTACATAGCATCTTTTAAGTGAAGATGCACATCGTTACAAGGGGTGGGGGGGGAAAACAGCCACAAAACAGCATATAAAATTGGAACACAAGAGCAGAGGGTTTTGAAGCTTGCTGAATTTTTAACTACTAGCAAATTGCCTTAAATTTAACTTGGATTAGTTCCCTAGTGATCCTTGACATTAAATGGATGTGCTGGTTTGACATGGGTAGACAGAAAACTAATTAATTCCTCTGAATTTGAGGCATATTTAATTTTCTCCCCCACAGACCTCTCATTTAAAAGGTACAATGATGTGACAAACATTGAATATGGAACAACATATCTGAGGTAGCAGACCTTTAGCCAGAGAAAGATCAAGACATCTACAATAATAATTGTTGGTTTGGAAGATGTTAAATGTTACTGATTAAACTGAACATAAGAGTATCTCTATCACTGCTAGCATACCTGGAAGTGGTGTAATGTGACCACCTGTCAGTGGAAGGGCTGCTATTCCTTGTGATGGATGTCTTCCCCATTCATCTCTATCACTTTATTCTTAAATTTTGAGTTATTTGGAACACAGCCAATTGTGTTTCCTTTGCATAGAGGAATGTATATTCTCGTTATTTTTTTTTCTTGCTTTATTATACTCATTATTTATTATATTTTAGAATATGAGGTACTTTTGCTTTCTTATCCTAAAGGTGTCCACCTGTCCTCTGCTTTTGTCCCCACTGTCCTTGGAAATGTGGACAAGTAGAGTAAGATCATATAATCCTTGTGTAGTAATGACATGATTTTGTTCATTCATAGCTGGCCCGGAGGGCATCTTCTGTCAAGAGCTTGGTGGGTGGGAGGGAAACCGTGAAGGAGTTTTGCATAGATTTTACTATTTAGTGAGAATGTAATGAACAGGAAATAAAGGTCTTAGAGAAGCTATTTCTAAACAGGCTAGCAAGTGCTTCATCCATAAGAAGCACCAGGTTTGTCACTGTCTGAATCTCAAACTGGTGTAGTTAAAAACAAAAGTAGCAAGAGACAAATATATTAATTTGGGTTTTGGCACAGGCAGTATAAACGAAGGACAAGGTGTAGGTAAAGTATCATGCAGAGATATCAACAGTTAGGGGCAATCCAAGCATACTAAAATAAGCTGAGTAAAGATATGAAATGGCAGAGAAATAAAATCCCAAGGGGATGGTGTAATTTCAAGGCGGAAGACATTGAAGAAGAAATCTAAGAAAAGATGTTCTTGCATAAACTCACAGAAGCTGATGAAGATGTTGAAAAATACTCTTAATGCTCATCTGCAGCAAAATGAGGAGAGGAAAATTACCCTTGCAGGGGTCTATTTTTTTTTTTTTTTTATTTCAACCAATTCCAGGGAGATCTGCCTTGGAATAGGGATTTTGAGACCTATAAAGGAACAGCAAAGGGAAGTGCTGGTTTTGAAACCTTCTGATCACTCCATAATTGTATCCTCTGAGGTTCTTGCATCTTCCTCTGAAGCATGTGGCTGTGGCAGCAGTTGAAGACGGGATGGATGACGGACGATTCGTTTCATCCTATGTGGCAATTCATGTTCCCTGAGGGGACTAGGCTGACTCTTCTACTCCTAAAAGTAGATGCTGTGGTGGTTTCTGGAATAAAGACAAAACTGAACTGTCATTCTCCCTTAATAGGTGGTTCTTTCAAACATAAAGACGTTGTGAAGCTGTGGCAGCCACCTTCAGAGCATGGAAGTTGTGGACCCACATATCAATTTTAGAGGTAGAGCTTAACTGTATCAGAACAAACTTAAGCTTTTGAAAGAAAGCGGGAGATATTCTTTACCTTGGATGGCCACTCAATGCTTTTAATTAGTTGGGCCTTAAACTACTGCTACATGGTATGTAAATCTTGATACTAAGTTTCAGATAAGTTGTATGTTCTAGGTAAAATGGCAAAAATTATGCCAAGAAAGTTATAAAACTCTGGAAATAAAAGGGTGCGCATAGAATTCCGAAGCTAGTCCCTACCAGGGTCTGGTGTAGTGAAAATTACTTCCAGAGTCAGTTCTGGCACTGCCAGCCACCTTTGTCAGCAAACGCTTTGCTTGTTTTGAACTTGAAGGTGTCTCACCTGAGAGACAGAGTGCGTTGATATGCATAACGTCAATGAAGGATTACCTTGGAGACTGGAAGGACAGTAAGTTTTTGATAGAGGCTGAACGGGCAGCAAATTAAACTGCATGATAGGAGTGCTTGTTGAATACTGTGTGGAATGTGATATATGTATTCTAGTCCATAGTGATATATCGTTTTTCTTGCACTTGTACTTTGCGGGCAATATTTGAAAATATTAGTGCCATTGATTACAGCTGATTGCTAAACTTTTTTGTATTTGTTTTGAAGTATTTGAGGAGGTTAATTTAAGAAATAACTTAGAAGATGTGAGTCTCTGCCATACTGCTAGTATTAACTAGACTTTGTCGTAGCATATTTTGACGTTTTCCAGAGGGTGATCAGAAGTCCTATCAATTCTTATCAGCCTGATGGTTGCTCTGTTTTCTTGTGCATAGAAGCATCCTTCCTAAACACGAACGTTTAGGTGACTATTAGAATTTCTCCATCTGTCGTCTTTGGGTGGTGGAGGGATAAACTTGGATATGTAAAGGCATAGAAATAATATGTTCTATTGTGAAGTTAAAAATATTGTGCTAATAAGTAGTTGAGCTTCACATAGCATTAATTTCATGGTTCTAATCCATTGCCATTTTAGTTTGGGTGGGGACTTAAAATTTTGTGATCTGTGGTCTTGGATTTGCGTGTTGCTCTTGACCTAAAAACATTTTTAGCCCCTCAATGGCAATATAGTAAAGGAAATAGCTAGTTTCAATTGGCTTCTGTTGTTTGAGGATTTTAGCTGTTCCGTGTGCTATGCGTCCTGCTTTTTTCCCCTTGAGGAAATCGTGTTACAGAACGCTCTTCGGCAGTTTGATCCATCGTCATGGTTTCAAGTGTAGTACTTCGTTTTAAACCAAACTTTACTGAACTCGAGCGGTAAAAAGTGACAGCTGTTGTACCCAAGTAACTTCAGACTTGTAAGAAAACCTGCCTTTAGTAGTTGAAAGAAACATTTTTTTGGAGTGTTATGAGGCACTGGAGGATTGAGCTTCAAATCTAGTCCCTTTTAACGTAACTTATTTAAGTCTAGTACAAATAAGCTGCATCTCGTAATGAGCGTGCAGTCTTTCTAGGCAGTCGTTGTATTTTGTGATGCTCTTTCAAGAGGGACCAGTTACCTAACTTGCTACAATTTGGTTTGTCTTGTTTAGTCCTTGAAAAAGGTCGATGGACTCTGATTTTGATGCAATACTGTCAATTTCTTCCCTATTCAGGACTTGTGGAAGAGGAAACACAAAGATTTCCAAATGAATAACCGAAAGGAAGATATGGAGATTGCTTCCCACTACCGTCACCTGCTTCGTGAGCTTAATGAGCAGAGACAACACGGCATCCTCTGTGACGTTTGCATTATAGTGGAGGGGAAGATCTTTAAGGCTCACAAAAACGTTCTGCTTGGGAGTAGTCGCTACTTCAAAACGCTGTATTGCCAGGTACAGAAAACATCTGACCAGGCCACAGTCACTCATTTAGACATTGTAACTGCTCAAGGCTTTAAAGCAATCATTGACTTCATGTATTCCGCACACCTAGCACTGACCAGCAGAAATGTCATTGAGGTGATGTCAGCAGCTAGCTATTTGCAAATGACAGATATTGTACAAGCCTGTCACAATTTCATAAAAGCAGCTCTTGACATAAGTATAAAGTCTGATGCCTCAGATGACCTTGTTGATTATGAACTTGGAGCTCCTTCTAGCAGTAGTACGGATGCTTTGATTTCAGCAGTTGTGGCTGGTAGGAGTATATCTCCCTGGTTAGCTCGGCGTACCAGTCCAGCAAACTCTTCTGGAGATTCAGCCATTGCCAGCTGCCATGAAGGAGGGAGCAGTTATGGAAAAGAGGATCAAGAACCAAAAACAGACAGCCACGAAGACGTTTCATCCCAGTCTCTTTGGTCTAGTGACATGGGCTATGGGTCTTTACGCATCAAAGAGGAACAGGTTTCGCCATCACATTATGGAGGGAACGAATTACATTCTGCCAAGGATAGTGCAATACAGAACGCTTTCTCAGAACAAGGTGTGGGAGATGGCTGGCAACCCACTGGGCGCAGAAAGAACAGAAAAAATAAGGAAACCGTGCGTCATATTACGCAGCAAGTAGAGGATGACAGCAGGGCAAGTTCTCCAATGCCATCTTTTTTACCTGCCTCAGGATGGCCATACAGCAGTCGAGACCCAAGTAAGTCATTCTTCTGCTTTTCTTTCCTGACATTAACAACGCAGAGTTAATGAAATCTGTTTATGGTATGATCTGATCAATCTCTGAAATATATTAGCCTATCGGAAACTGAAAAATGTAGAGATCTGTGTTGCCGGCTCTTCGATGGAAGTGCCATACAGCTCATTTAGGAACTTCAGTGTCACAGCAGTGCAGGCTAGTTCTTCTCTGAAAGAAGTTGGTGGTTTTGCTCTGGCCCTGAAAATAGAATGGCCTAAATCACCCCTGAAACACCATTATAATTATCAGAATTCATGAGGTGAAAGGTTGGAACTTATTTCAGCAGAGGTGTGCAAACCCATCACTTCATGTCAGGGTTGAAGAATTTTCCTTGCATAGTATATTGATGCAGTAATTACGCCACATATAGGTGTAATTTAGTGAGTCTCAATGTTACTATCTTCAGTACTGCCTGGTGTTCAGGTGTCACTTTCTCATTAATAAGAAGGCTACCGTAGCTTGTTGCTGGTAATAGCAAGAAAAGCGTTTGGTAGCTCTAAGAATGTTTTTGTGAGGCTGTAAAGCTTAAAATGTATTTTGATGTTTGACTTGTAGTCTGAGATGAGTGACTTTTTTCAGCAGTGTAGCCAGGGAGAAAAATGTTTTCTGGACTCCTTTTTAAATCTTCAGTTGTTGTTTTTCTGTCTCAAAATTAAGGTAACTGTCTTATTTGATTCACTAATCGCTGCCTATTTTTAGATCCAAGAACACTGTTGAAACAGGGGGTTTTGGTTTTTTTGAGGACTCTAAGGGAAGTGGGATATTGAACTCCCTTAAGCTGACTTGAAGATCTTAGTCTGTGCTATGAGTTAACCTGTGTTTCATTGGATACCAGAATGTCAGCCAGCGAGGGTAAGGGTATGTGAGATTATATACGCTTATGTTGTCAAATTTAGAGTGAAAAAAGCCGTACAATTAATACTGAAAGTCTGAACGATCTTTATGTGCTGGAAAAAGGGTTTTTAAGCTGCTTACATACTGATGCACAAATGTTAAATTTGGCTTTCATTGATATTTAATTGAATGGGTGACTGTCTGCAAATATCTTCGGATCAGTTATGTTACTTTTACAGTTATCTGCTGCAGCAAGCTTGCCTGTAATTATTCTAATTGGTTGGTGATAAAATCTAAACAACTTTGGCTAGAAGGAAGATGCCAGATAAGATAAAAACAGGACTCATCATAAATTATTCTTATAACGCGTGTATTTTAGGACTGTTTTGAGTAAAGACTCAGTATTGACTGTCTGAAATGCTATTCACACACAAATACTTTTCACTTTCACAACATCCCATTATAACAGTTCAGACACACTGGCTATGAGTTAGGTTTTTCAACAGGTGTATGAAGCAAGCCACGCATGTTGGAGTTACTACAGAAGCAGAGCTGCAACATTAATCTTAGAAAACTAGTCATATGTTGAGTTTCTTTAAATTATACTTTAGAAAATGGTGCAGAATATAAGAGATGATAGTGCTGGAAGATGAGTGATGTCTGTATCATTTCATTCCTAATTGTTAAGGAATTAAATAGAAATGGCTTTTGTTCTTTACAACTGTTTGCGGATGAGAGGAAGATGGCTTCTGGGGTTGACTCAGTGCAGTGCTGAGACAGCTGCATCAGCAGATACAACCAAATTATTTGTTCCCAATCTTGTCTTAAATAGTTTCCAGTGAAAGAGGTATCTTGTATGACAGGGAAGAAGAAACTGAGTGGTGGTGATTGGGGGAATAAGTTTGATGTTCTTCTAGTGCTATCCTTTTGGAAAAGGAGAAGTGCCAGAAATAGCAAGCACAGGGGCTATCTATGTTGGCAGTGGCCTGCCCATATCTGGCTGCTACTCGAAGAGCAGCATGGTTCTAGGTAAAAGTAACCATGCTGAAGAAAGGGGATATTTGGAGTCTGAGCTACCCATGGTTTCCCCATATTAGCCAACTGGGAGGGGTGAGCAGAGATGACATTCTCCTTTCTGCCTCCTTGAAGGATGAAGAGATGCATGCTTCTCTGTGCTGCGGGGCCTGAACTCGCAGAACGGGGAGGGCGTAGACTTAGCGTCAGGGAGCCCCTTTCGGCATGCTTGGGGGAACTCCAAGACCCCTCTGGTTACAGGAAGCCTCCTTTTTCTCAGGTTGATTTCTGTTGTGTTTGAGGGGGGTGGAAGAAGGGGATGGTTGCAGAGAGTTTGAGATCTGTGCCCGTTAAGCTGTAGTTCACATTTGGCCACTTTGTAAGTGGCAAGCCTCTTGTGTGCCTGTGTCTGTAGATGTGTGGTTTGGGTGAAATCTGATGGAGTTGGTCACTCGGGTGAGATGGCTGCTCTTCCAGTGTGCAGGCAACATGAGAAATCAAAGCATCCCTGCTACCCCTAACCATTGCTCCCCTGCTCCCTACAAGCAGGAGGGTCTTTCTGTCTCGCATTAATATTTCCCATCTCCAGCAGGTGGAAGCAACCGTCTTGCAAATTGCTCCATCTCCTTAGTTGCTAGGCTACCGCCTTCTGCTTAGGCTGGTCAGTGGTACCCCAGGTATCCCAGCTTTCCTGCTGGAGGTCAGGAGCAGTCGAGGGGTGGTGCAAACTTAGCTCCCACCCGTGAAGGAAAACTGATTCTCTTGTGTGCAAATGGGTAACGGCAAGCGTATGTAGTGTATAATGAGTATTTGAGAGGTGGTTCTGTGCTTCAGTTTCTAAATTTCACTTTCAAACCAGCTTTGAATTTAGTAGTGTCAGACGTAATTCCTTAAACAGAGTTCATAGTCTTGAGACTGTTTGTTCCCTCGCTTATTTGGAAGGATCCCTATCCGTGTTGTTCATAGCTGAGATAAAAAGTTACTCCTTTGCTGAGGAAATGGATGTTGAATGTTATTTGGTAAATAGGCTCAGAGGAAAAGGGTTTCCTAGAACTCTTTTTATTCTTTGAGACTTTTCTAGTCTATTCAGTGGTTTTAATATGCTAATTTTTTTTTTTAAGTCTGAAAGTCCTGATTATGGGATAATTTGGGTGCCATTTGCAAATGTGTGCTAAAGGGCTAATGCAGGCCTTCTGGCAAAGTGAAAGCTGATTTAGCTGAGTCCGTCTTAACTTCAGTGCTGATGTCTTTCTCCTGAAATTGCGCAAGATGATAATTTGGTCTTTCTTGCAAATGCTCTTTCAGCAAGATGTAAGCAACATTTTCAAAGGTGGCTACTGCAAGTAACCATTACAAGCAACCATAGAGTGAAAATCTGTTTTGTTTTTGAAACATCTGACAGCTCATTTTTGAAACATCTAACAGCTCATTTACACTTAGTAGTGTTGCTTACTGGAAAGTAGACGTTTTTATCAATACAGGCAGCATGTAGTAAAGTGTCCCAAATACTTAAGTAGACTGTACTTAAACTTGATGAAATGGAGCCTAAAACAGATACAGATGTTTATCTTGAAAGGATAGGAAAATTCTTTCTGGATCAGTTGATTCTATTCCAGATGCTGGTGGGGTACTGCTGAAAGTCTTTGAATTTGATCGTGCTACAGATCAAAATGAAAAGAAGTGTCTGGGGTAATCCTGTTAATGGTTATCTAGTATCATGGAAATAGCCACAGAAGCAAGAGGTTCTTAGTGTCCTCGTGAAGAGTATATCTGCTTCCTCCAAGAAAGAATGATCAAATAAGATTTGCAAATGAATCTGAACCAGGTTGAGATGCTACACTGAGAATGTGGATTAAGCTCTCAGTTTCTACAGGATGATATCAGTCAAGCATGAAGGTAGTGCAAGGCTGCTCATTCAATCTGTAGAGGCATCTCGGGCTTAGATGAGTTCCCACTTTCGTGTCTTGGTTATCTTTGTCTTGCTATCCAACTTGAGAGCTTCCTGACTGTAGAGTGGACAGTGTTTGGGGACCCTCTTTTTATGCTATTGCCAATTTACTAACTTGTATTCTCTAGTTAGTATAAGACTTTTCTGTCTCTCTCTCTCACTTTTTTTCCCCCCCCCCCTTCCTCTTGGTGTTTGGGTTGATCAGGATGTCACTGTGTTATTCTGTATATGAAATATTCAAGTATATGTTTTCCTTACCTAGCAACATTTACTTAGAGTAGCAATTCTTCAAAGTAAACTTAAGCCTGGGTTTTTATAACTTGTAACTTTCCTCATAACTCCACAGACTAACCAAAATAACAAGTCTACCTTTCATTTTAACCTTTTTTTGAACTTTGTAAGTTTTCTAAAGAAATAAATTATTCATCAATTTATTGGTTTTAATGTCAAAGATGATCACGAAATTCTGATGTAGACTTCAGTTTTGAGCATCTTGATCTTTTCTTTGGTTGCTGTTCAATAACTCTAGGAAAACTTTTCACAGGATTACAAGTCTTGAGCATCTGGATATGGAAGTTGATGGTATTTAAAAGGTTCTCACTGACAAGAAGTTATCCTCACTAGAAGAGCTGTTAAGCTAGCAAAATGTTACAGGATTTTTGCCTATTCATGTAATGGAAAGTTCTGTTAGTCTTTGGGGGGGGGTGTCTTTTGAAGAATTTGGTTTTATTACTGTTTTATTTCAAGCATAGTTATGATTCAGGAATTTATTTGTGAGGAAATACTCCCACACATCTGAATGTTTGCACCCTAAAGCTGCAAGTGATTTTTGTGCCAATTGGCTGTGTAATGAAGCTGATTACTTTCAATACAAAACAGAACAGTCCTTTTTTAAAAGATGCTGCAATTTTGGAACTTTTTGCTCTACTCTGAATTTAGCAAGATATGATTTGAAACCCTTCTGTAACAGTAGTATCCTGTAAGAACTTCAGGATTTATGTAAACCCAGAGTTGAAAAGTTTACAGGAAGGGGTGAACACAGATGCTTAACGGTTTTATCACTTAGTGAGCCTACAGGGGTTTCAAAAGCCTTTAGAGGGGCAAGGAAGAGTTCTGTCTAGATAAACTGCCAGCTGATTTTGTGCAGGCAAGGTCCCTGGACCTG